GGAGAAAGAGAAAAGAGAATTAGAAAGATGAAACATTACAAAATAGAAAGCTCCAAACTTGCCGACAATCTGAATGGCGCCGGTGAGGCCGAAGGGCAGCGTCAGCTGCTCCTTCCTCTCCTCCGGCGTCCAATTAGCGGTGACATTAGCTGCTGTGGTGGTGGTGGTGGCATTTGTTGAATTGCCATTCTCGCCGTGAACGTAGGGGCTGACGATGATCGGGCCGACGATGGTGCCCAGACCTTAGAAAAAATGCGAGGTAAACAAAAGTTCAAGATTTAGAAATCTGACAACGCGCGCGCTCCGTTCACAAATACCGTAAAAGAACTGGGACGCCTGAATCAGCGGCGCATTGATCGCCGGCCACATTCTGCAGAGAGAAAAAGCACGCAAATCGAAATTAGAAACTCTTGATTGAAAAGCCTAATGATCACCTACTCGACAATCCAGACGTTGTTATTTGAGTCCCATGTCCCGCCGCCGATGCCGTTGAGGGTGATGGCGAGGAAGAGCGCCCACAGGCGGCCGTAGAAGGGCACCAGAGTGGTGGTGACGGCGAGGACGGCCACCAGGACCACGATGGTCAGCTGCCGATTGAGCCACTTGTAGAGCGCCCCTGAGAGCGAGCCCAGGAGGTAGCCCAGCGAGCTGAAGGTGACCAGGTAGTTGATCGCCTCATTGGAGCAGTCGTAGATGTAGCTGAGGTCGACGAGGGCGGGCCAGAGGACGGTGGAGCTGATGCCCTGATGTAGAAAAATGGAAATTTGAGAAATAGAACCGCAGAACGATTTGGTGGACTTACAAAGGCAAAGTGGTTGACGAAGATGCACAGCGTGTAGAAGAGGTTCGTCTTGTTCAGCGCCGAAAAGTCGACCATGATTGCTGATGATGAAGTTTTAGAAGGCTGTAAACAGCAAAAACAAAAATTAATTGCCAATCAAAGACGCGGAACTCCTGAACTGTACCTGTTAAATAGGGAAATTAAGTTGAGGTGACAATTAAATCCAGGTGACAAGTGCGGTGCGTGAGGTAACCCTGGAGATAGCTTATCAAGACCAGACCGTAAAGTGTCAAGTGTTGCCGGTCAGTGATAGTAGTGCTGATAGATCTTCAAACAGTCGCTCTATTTTTATCTTCCAATGCTGAGATGATAAAGTTGCTGCTGCTGCAGACTAGACAAACACANCAGGGCGGGCCAGAGGACGGTGGAGCTGATGCCCTGTGGAAAACGGAAAAATGGAAATTTGAGAAATAGAACTTCGCAGGACAACGATTTGGTCGACTTACAAAGGCAAAGTGGTTGACGAAGATGCACAGCGTGTAAAAGAGATTTATCTTGTTTAGAGCCGAAAAGTCGACCATGATTGCTGATGATGAAGTTTTAGAATGCTGTAAAGACCAAAACAAAAATTAATTACCAATCAAAGACGCGGAACTCCTGAAATGTACCTGTTAAATAGGGAAATTAAGTTGAGGTGACAATTAAATCCAGGTGACAAACAGTGCGTGTGGTAACCCTGGAGATAGCCGCTTATCAAGTCCAGCCAGTAAAGTGTCAAGTCAATTGGTGCCGGTCAGAGATAGCAGTGCTGATAGATCTTCAAACAGTCGCTCTATTTTTATCTTCCAATGCTGAGATGATAAAGTTGCTGCTGCTGCAGACTAGACAAACACGTCAAATTGAGTGCACATTGAGTAAGAGAGCGTTGATGACCGAAAATGGACCGTTGAGAGAGCGAGAGTATAAAATAAAAAAACTCAAGGCAAGGCAATGTAGCAATGCAACAACGGATGGGGACAATGCGGACAGCTCGTTGCTCGTGTGATCAAAATTGTTTGGGTGATCTCTTCTTGCTCGGTGTTGTTGTTGCGCCAGACAGACACAAACCGACAAACACCGAGAGGCAAACACGCTGCTTGGGCTATTTGGAGAGATTTGACATTTAGAAAGCAAATTGGTAGATTGGAAGGGAGGAAGGAAGATGAGTACCGTAGATAAACTCGCTGTTGTACGAATTGCCCTTTTAAAAAGGTCGAGATTCTCTTTAATGGCACAGCAAGGTCTTTCGGCGGCGGCGGTGATGGTGAAGCATATTAAAAACCGTCAACGTTCAGGCACTTGAGGAGATAATATCTTCACTATCCTCTCATCACCACCAACTTCAGCAGAAGGGCAAAGGTGCCTGTGAATGTGACTCATTTTACCACGAGAAAGAGAGAGATGATGTCTTCAGCTGCCGCTGCTTCTTCTTCAGTGGTCTGATGCAACAATAGCAGCGGTGCACCGTGCACGTGATCCGGCCGCGTAACGCCATCTGCGAATGGCGCTTTGTTGTTGTGATTTTTGCCTTGCAAAAAATTCTTTGGGAAATAGAATCCTCGGGTAAATTCTAGGCCCCAGAATCGAAGATGGCGCCCACTAAAGACCGGAAGCCCAAAAGGGTTACCTTTCATGTGCCAACAGATGAAGAGAAAATGCCGCCACCGCCACTGCCACCTCCTCTCAGGCCATCTAAACAGGCAGCTCTAGATAAGGCAACTTCAGCTAAGGCAGTTCCAACTAAGCCAGCCATTTCTTCAAAAGCTCCAAAACCTCGAGAAAAGCCTCTGATGCCGCCACCACCACCACCACCACCAAAACCTAAGCCGAAAAAAGCCTCAAAGCCACTGACCACCACCATTGAACGAGTGCCCTCATCATGCTCTTCGTCATGCTCTTCATCGTGCTCATCATGTTCTTGCTCCTGTTCCGGATCATCATCATGCTCATGTTCATCCTCCGAAGAGGAGGAAGACGGCGAAGAGCGACAAAGAAAACTAAGGGAGGAATATGAACAGAAGAGAAAGCGACGGGAGGCAAAGGAGCGCGAGGCGGCGGCGGCGGCGAAAAGTTCGAAAAAGAATCCACAGAAGGCGAAGAAGAAGCGCGAACCGAGGCCCGAGGAGGAGCTGAAGAGCCTGCTGTACTTTGACGTCGACGGCTACGGCCTCCACTCGGACATTCACTTCCGGGAGCCCTGCAGGCTGGAGGGACTGTGCTTCAACTTTGAGCGCTTCCCCAAGATGGTCCGCCCCTACATTACCTACCGAAATCAGATTCTCCGCCTGTGGGTGCGCAATAGCTGCGTGAGTTTCTTCTTCTTTTTCAAAATTGCCCATTTAGAAACTCAACTTCTCTTTCTTCTTTTTCAAACAGAGACAAGTCACCTTCTTCGACGTCATGCACCACCTCCCCGACGCCCGGTACAAATCGAAACGGCGCTTCATGAAGGTCATCTACGACTTTCTCGAGCAGAATTGCTTCATCAACTTTGGCGTCTTCACCGTGCCCAAGCCACGGCAGTGGGTCGGCGACCGCCGCCGAATCATCGTCATCGGCGCCGGAGTGGCCGGCCTCGCCGCCGCCCGCCAGCTCACCTACTTCGACTTTGACGTGGTCATCTTGGAGGCGCTGCCCCGCTTCGGCGGCCGCTGCTACACCATGGTCCTCGAGGACCTGGACGGAGACGGCGGCCAGTGGGACGACCCGCCCGCGGTCATCAACACCGGCGCCAGCTTCGTCAGCGCCGCCTACAACAATCCCTTCCTCACGCTGA